CCCCCCCCCAAAAAAAAATATATGTAACTTTTCTTCCAGGATGACACGGTCATCCAGACCAGATACCATATATGCTGGTTTGGCTAGATCTGGTAGAAACCACTCCCCCCTTCCTGGTTGAAACCCTCTTTGCCACCACAGAAACAGCTCTTAAAGATTCTTGCAGTACAAGAACAGGCTGCTAAGCAGAAAAAATGCTGAGACTAAACCCTCAGCGCCTCCTTACCCAATTTTGCAGGAAGGGACGGAGGAAGATTTAACTTTTCCTCCTCCCTATCAGCCGCTAGCATCACCCGGGAGCACTGCGCCTGAGCTGTCGCCACCGCCAGAGCGGTGGCAGCCGCGGAGGGACCTGTGGCAGGGACTCCGGGGAGGGCACACAGGGCGGTTCCCCCTGCGACCCAGGGGCCTGCGGATTCGACTTCCTACTTCCCTTCTGAGCCGCTGGACCTCCCGATGCAACTGGTCACCAACCCCTTCACGACTGGTCTTTCACCACCAGTGACCTGTATAAATGCCCAATTTTCTGACAACCCCAAAGATCTAATTAGCCTCCGAGATGCTGCTGCGTTCGCTCATCAGCCCCCGGGATGACTGCCTGCAGCTCCTCAAGGTCCTTTTCACCAAGGAACGGGAAAGGATTCAGAAAGAAGCCCAGAATATTGGTTCCAGGAGACAACAGACAACCCATTGTGAATCGCGCCACCATCAATGACACCTTCCCTCTAACTGGTCCTGACTGGGCCCCGGGTCGATCGCCAGACCCTACTGACAGGTCTCATAGCGGCTGCACGAAGCCCACTCACTTGGCCAAGGTAGGAGATGGGCAGCAGGTCAGGATGAAAGTCCGGCTGCCTTTTTAGAGTGACGGAGGCACCTGGACGGTGCCCCCCACGGACCGAGGCACCCCAGAACATGGCAGCAGCTGTACTGGCATTTGTAGATCAGGCAGCACTGGACATTAGAAGAAAGTTGCAGAAAGTGGAAAGAATTGGAGAAGAGAGTTTGCAGGACTTGATGGCGGTGGCAGAGTGGGTAACAATGGAAGAAGAACAGGCGGGAGCCGGGGCTGGAGAGAGGAGGGCCCGAGCCACGGAGGGTGCCCAGCAGATGCGGGGCATGGCGAGAATTCTTTCAGCGGCCCCCTCCAGATCCCAGAGGAGATACAACGCCAAGTACGAGTTGTTCACCAACTGCGATGGCTGGCAAGAGATGAAGGCAGAGAGGTCCACCCAGGGGACCGGCCCCACTGCAGAGGGACCAAGAATTAGGGCATTGGGTTAAGAACTGCCCCGGGCGGGCCGTGGTGGCTCATGCCTGTAATCCTAGCTACTCAGGAGGCTGAGATCTGAGGATCACGGTTCAAAGCCAGCCCGGGCAGGACAAGTCCATGAGACTCTTACCTCCAATAAACCACTAGAAAACTGGAAGTAGTGTTCTGTGGTTCAAGTGGTAGATCGTTTGCCTTGAGCTGAAGAGCGCAGGGACAGTGCCCAGGCCCAGAGTTCAAGACCCACATCTGATAGAAAAAAGGAAAAAAAAAAAAAAGAACTGCCCCAAGAAACTGGCACGGAGAGTCTGTGATTCGGGACAGGAACCTCGTCATGTGTTGGTCACAGAAGCTCAGTGGCTAGTGGGGGCGGGCTTTGGCCCCCCTCCCCGAGCCCAGGGTAACCGAGTGGAAGGGACACTGGGGCTCAGCACTCGGTCCTGCTCAGGCCCCGGGGTAAGTTATCTGGCAGAACTTCTTGGTGCAGGGAGCCCCGGAGATGAGCGATGATCAGGGACTACCTGAAGAGCCGCGGGCCTGGCCGTGGCTGGGTAACCCATGGTCATCCCAGAGTGCCCCTACCCCCTGCTGGGCAGGGCCTGCTCACCAAAATAGGAGCTCAGATTTACTTCCAACCAGACGGAACTTTGGTTCTGGATCACCAAGGGCGCCCCATCCAGGTTTTAACTCTTAATTTAGATGAAGAATATCGACTGCATCCACGGCTGCTGCCACCCGCGGCCAACCTAGAGTATTGGTTACGAACATTTCCTGAGGCTGCGCAGAGACTGGGGCGATGGACCAGCCAGGCACAGACCTGCAGTCTACACAGAAGGAAGGCCCGGAGTGGATCCGGCTAGGATTCCACAGTACTCTCTGCCACCGGAAGCCTGGGTGGGGCTCCCGTCCCACATCCAGCGCCTACTAGAGTGGGGGTGCTCTGGCCCTGCCAGCTGCTTGGAACGCCCCATTGCTGTCAGTTCTAAACCAGTCTAATGACCACGGGCCAGTCCAAGATCTAAGAGTAAGCAAGCGGGTGATGGATGCATCCCACTGTCCCCGGTCTGTACACTCCCCTCAGCTCCCTGCCTCCAGATGGCAGTGGCGTACTGCCCGAGATTTCAAAGATGCCTTTGTTAGTCTGCCCCTGGCTCCAAAGAGTCAAGAGCTGTTTGCCTTCGAGTGGACTGACTGACCCTGAGAAGGGCATCGATGGGCAGCTGGCCTGCACTAGATTACCTCGGCGAAGCGCTTCATGAGACATGTCTGGGTTCCGTTCTAATCATCCTGACCTGACACTCTTGCAGTATGGAGACGATCTCTTGATTGCAGCTGAGAGTCAGGAAACACGCCTGCAGGGGACCAAGGACCTACTCCAGACTCTGGGAGGCTTGGGCATCAGCCAAGAAGGCCCAGATCTGTCAACCTGAGGCAGATGATTTGGGAGAGCCGCTGAAGGAGGGCCAGAGGCAGCTAACCAAGGCTGGCAAAGCGGCTGCGCCCAGCCCCCGACCGCAGCGCTTGTCAGGTGCAGGATTTTGTGGAGTTAGCTGGCTTCTGCAAACTGTGGATCCCCAGGTGTGCGGAGCGGGCCAAGCCCCTCTCTGAAGTCACTAAAGAGGGACAGCCGTGGCATGGGGCAGCTCTCTGGAGACATCTTTCAAGCAAATAGACAGCCCTGCTGTCGGTGCCCGCCCTTGCGCTGCCTGATGCGACAAAACCCTTCTGTCTGTCTGTGGATGAGCACAGGGCATAGCAAGAGGGGCGCTCACCCAATATCTGGGTCCCTAGTGGAGACCGGTAGCCTACCTCTTCAAGAAGTTGAATCCTGTGGCCGCTGTGTGGCCAGGCTGTCTGCGGATGAGAGCCGCACTGCCCTGCTAGTCGGGGATGTGGATAAACTCACTCTGGGGCAGGAGCTGTACATCACCAGCCCTCACGCTATCGAGGGGGTTCTTTTTTTGGGGGGGTCCGGTTGTGGGGCCTGAACTCTGGGCCTGGGCGCTGTCCTCAGCTCTTCAGCTCAAGGCTAGTGCTCTACCACTTGAGCCACAGCGTCACTTCCGGCTTTTTTCTTTTTGCTTATGTGGTGCTGAGGAATTGAACCCAGGGCCTTGAGCATACAAGGCAAGTGCTCTACCACTGAGCCACCTTCCCAGCCCATCGAGGGGGTTCTTAAACAACCCCCTGACCGCTGGCTCAGCAAGGCCCGGCTCACCCATTGTCAAGGCCTGTTCCCAAGTCCTCCCAGAGTTACATTTCAGGCGCCGGCCACATTAAACCTGCTACCCTGCTGCCTGACCCAGACTTAGCAGCTCCGCTCCATGACTGGCTGATATTCTGGCTCATGGACATGGGATCCGAGCCGGCTGAAGGATCAACCTTTGCTGGATGCAGAGCTTATCTGGTCCAGGGCCGGCGGCAGTTCTGCCCGGGCCGGCAGGAGGTGTGCACGGCGGCAGTGGCGACACAGACAGAGGTCGTGTGGACTGAAGCACTGCTGGCCGGGACCTCTGCACAGTGGCAGGATTGGTGCCAACCAAAGGGCTGGCTCTGGGAGATGACGTTGACTGGATTTACTGACAGCTGTTATGCTTTTGCCACAGCCCATGGTCACGGGTCTCACACTCTCCTGCCCGGGCTGGCGTTGAACCTCGATCCTCAGATCTCAGCCTCTAGAGTAGCTAGGATTACAGGCGTGAGTCACTGGTGCCCGGCTCAGTTTCCATTTCTTTCCAAGTATATGGGAAATCAGTGTGGGGTGTCCACCTGTAACCTTAGCACTCAGGAGGCTGAGGAAGAGGACGGAAAGCTTAAGGTTAGAAATTTAAAAAAAAAAAAAAAGTTGGGTTTGTGTTGCTTAAAATCGCCCTGTGTCCACTTCCTGGGCATTTTGAAAGACTGTCAAGTGTCTGTTACAGCACTGAGTCAGGCTTATCAGTGATCATGCATATGACCATCATCTGCACAGACACACGAACCAGAACGGCCCGGAGCTGGTAAATGCTTGCCTGGCATGCGTCAGGCCCTGGATTCCATCTCCAGCAGCCACAGTCTGGCCACCAAGCCTTTGACACAACCTGGCCCTTCCTGATGCTTTTTCTACCCTGAAGTGAGTTGCACTGGCACACGCTGCCACCAGGAGGAGACATCTTGCTTACAGGCTAGAAAGCAGAGGACCAGGGGACTGTGGGAGGAAGATAAAAATTAGCCTCCTTCAAAACGAAACAAGCCAGGAAGTAAGAGAAATCTGAGCAGGACGCGGCCCTTACACCTCCTTGTAGATGCTTAATACCAGGGGGAATGGACAGGCCCAGACAGCCGCCTTCGCCTTGAGACTCCAAAGAGCTGCAGATGAATCTGTACAGACGCCTGGACGCCGATGCGCTGCCGTGTGGGTAGGCCTAGACCATCTATCCGTGGACAGAATGAACACCAAATGTCTTGCCACGTTTTGGATAACAGGTCCACCAGAACCCATTGTAATGATTAAAGGCTGTTCTGTGACCGTTCAACAGCCCAGAAAATAGGGAAATCAGGGAAAGCCACTTATTTATTTGCCTGGGCGCTGTCCCTGAGCTTCTTTTGCTCAAGGCTAGCACTCTACTGCTTGAGCCACAGCGCCATTTCTGGCTTTTACTGTTTATATGTTACTAAGGAATTGAACCTACGGCTTCATGCACACTAGGCAAGCTCTGTACCACTGAACCACCTTCCCAGCCCAAAGCCACCGGGTTTTGAGGTTAACCAGCACCCATGCACAAAGCACAAAGTCTTTTCTCCCCTTCTTTTTAATTTTTCCCTGCTTAATCCTGTCTTACTAAAATCTTTACTCAAACTTCCACTGTGTGTGTGTGAGAGAGAGGCAGAGACAGACAGAGGCAGAGAGAGAGAGAGAGAGAAAGAGTGTGTCCTGGAGCTTGAACTCAGTGCCTAGGCACTGCCCTGAGCTTCTTTTATTTAAGGCTCACTCTCTACTACTTGAGCCACAGCTCCACTTCCAGCCTTTTTGGTTGTTTAGTGCAGGTAAGAGTCTCATGGGTGGCACTGTAGCTCAAGTGGTAGAGCCCTCGTCTTGAGCTGAAGAGCTGAGGGACAGCGCCCAGGCCCAGAGTTCAGGCCCCATGACCGACCCCCCCCCAAAAAAAAGAGAGAAAGAGACTCATGGACTTTGCTGCCAGGCTGGCTTTGAATCCTGCTCCTCAGACCTCAGCCTCCCGAGTAACTCGGGTTACAGGTACTGGCACCCGGCAAAGCTGAAGACCTTTTAAAGATAAGAAACAATAGAGAGTGCAGGAAGGGTGACATTTCCAAAAATAAATGTACTTTTTACCTGACTTATGTAACCGTAACTGTACATCACCTTTATAACAACAAAAAGAAAACAGCAGCGGCTGCTGTATGGCCTCATGGTGGAGCCTTTGCCTGAAAGACTCCAGCCCCAGTACTGGAAACAGGAGGTGAGAAGCCAGCCAGCCCAGGGGAGCTGGGGCGGTGAGCAGGACTAGCCTTCAAGGAGTTTGGCTTCACGGAGGGTGTGACCAGAGCTCAGAGCCTTCCGGGCCGACCAGGCCTCCTGGCCAGGGTGTTAGTCAAAGAGCTGAGGTGGCAGCCTGGGGGACAGCGCCCGGCCTGGGCCTGGGGGAG